TTGAGTCGTATGATAAAATTCGAGCACCTATTACGGTGGGTTCAGGAATAATGAATTGTGAATGATGTAATTTATTTTGAAATAATGTACTTTATTTCAGTACAGATTTAATAAAAAAAGTAAATCGTCATTAAAGCGCGCGTAGGATTGATCCTAATAAATTTATAGATATGGGACTCGACCAAACTTCATAGGTTCATAAACTGCATTTATAACGACGCAAGTAATAAATCTATGAACTAAACATTGAACTCAACTTACTAAAAATATTAGCAACAATAAATGTTAATAATAGTTTTTTTATTGCAATTATTACAATTATTGCTTCAATTAATGCTTCGTTTGGTGTCGAAAAAATAAGTTTAAAAAGTAATAAACAGTTTTTACCTAACTTCTTTTTTAATGCGTGATAAAATAACATAGCGTGCACGAAGTATATTTCCGAGAGACTTTTGTATGATTATTAAAATATCGAGGAAGAACAATATTAAATCTGAATAAGGTACATTCATGTATAATAAATGTATTTTGAACATTACGTTCCTTTGTTGGTCGTCGGTGGATTAACTTTGATAATATTAAGCTCGTTAGTTATTCCTTTGTCATAAGATATAATCAAGTTTCCTAAGATGTTTTTCTTAAATGAATTTATTATCATACCACATAAATATACTCATTCACACACACGCACACACATATAGGCTATATTGGCGTAACAGTATTATAAATTCATATGATAAGCAAATGTTGGAGAATTTCATTTATAATTGCAAACTAGGTATTTGTTAAGTATTGAAGCGTGAAATAGTAGATTAAAAATAATAGTTCCGATAGTGATCATTATCATAATATAATTTTGAGTATAACGACCTGTTTGTTTATAATGAATTATAATGTATTATTTTTCGTAACAACTATGGCATAATTTAAGTTTCATATTTCCAGTTTTCTGAAACGAACACTAATACATTTAATTAGCCGGATTCTTAGGTTTAGAAGATATAACTCTAATCTTATACCATTTTATGAATTACAAATACCATTAGTTAATATATTTCATATCACTTATAGTTTTTTTTTTAACGGGTTTTATTGTTTACAAATTGATTTGATGCGCAAATAATATCATCACATTAGACTGTATTTTTGATATTGATAATACATACTCGTATAGTTAAAAATATAAGTAATAATTGGTGGTTTAAATAAAAATGTACTAATTCTGCTATACTATGATGGGAATTGGAAATAAAAATAAGTAAATTTAATAAACAATTCGATTTTATCGTTCATGAAATATAAAATTAATTCAAGAATGAATGAAAATTGAATCATAGATATCATAGATTAAGTGATTAATAGCCTTGATCATGATATTAGTATTTATCCATTAAGTATTATCATATACTTTAAAAAAAGAAGTTCTAATAAAAATTGTATGGAGTTATTAAAAATTAAACTTTTTGAGAGCAATTTAAAAATCCCATTGAAACTTAATCATATAAACCAAGGTAACACTTGAAAGTTGAACAGATTTAGAGTAGGACACAGTTTTTTTCACACAAATTTTATTTGTATTGTTTGTGTAGTATTCAGAATTCAGTCGAACGTATCTGTAGTACATAATTTCAAATAAAGTCAATGAAATTGTTAGAAACTGTATCGAGGTAGTTTTTAATTAAATCATCACCTCTTTTAGGTAAAGTATAAAGTTATGGGAATATTTTTTGACAACTATTGCTATACTAAATTGTCATATTTAAAAATAAATAAAAAAATATGATCGCTTTTCAATGAAAAAAGTAGATTGATGGCGAATACTGATAAAATTTATAAAAATAAGAAATTCTAAACTAATTATAAAAAAAATTAAAAAAAATATTTAATTTAATATTCATGCTTATATTTTTACACATTTTGAAAATGATTAACACTTAATACAATATTTATTTAACAGTTTATATGTGTTTATTTGTATGTTATTTAAATCTTAACAATATAATTTAAGTTTCGTATCAATATTTGTATAACTAGGAGTATATCATACATTTTATTTTTTATATATAAGTATTTATTGATACTTCAAAAGTAAAGTTATTAGTCAGGAAAAAAAATTTAAAAATTTATTCTTTATTTTATAACAAGTAAGTACATAAAAAATATATAATGAGTATATTTAGCAATACATAATTATCATACATTTCAAAGGTAATTTGGTAACAAAAATAATAAAAATTATATTATATCAATGAATATTTAAATTCAGTATATATAAGTTTTTTTTGTGAAAATACATTAATAAATTAAAGTTTTTTAATGATATGTTCTAGAACTATTGGCCAAAGGAAGAATTTTCTATCTTTGATAAGTATGAACATTACAAGAGGAGGTATTTTATAGATATTAAGTTACAGAATTCGCACATGGGTATTGGTTCTTTTTCAGTGTATGTAGATGATGTTTGTATGACCAATTTTTATACCAATTTTAAGTCCTTATTGTTTATTCTCGTCTTATAAAAGACTGGGGATACATATTTTGAGCTAAAATAATCTTGATTTGGTGGAGTTTTTTGTTAGATTTTTGGTCCCATAGAAGTTGGTGTTCTTCATTGCTTCTTTCCACGACACATTTTATAGTGATCTTTAGAGATGATAGTTCTATTTCGGGATAGTTCTATTTCTATTTATTATTGATAAAAGCTTCTAAACTGCCTTCGTTAGCTTTTTTGTTTCCAGGTATGTTTTTGTGTGTGGGTATACAAAAAAAAAAAAAAAAAAAATTATCGAAGGAGTGGAGGAAGTTTTTTCTTGGATGTTTTTTATGATTTGATTTGTTGAACCGTGGGTTTTTATAACTAGTATAGATTTAAGGAAATCACTGGATATAAATGTCTGGTATAGTTTATCTAGTTTATTTACTACAGATTTCAGAATTAAGGTTGACCATTAAAACTATTTCTGGATAAGTTACTGTAGAAAATCATATCTTAGAAATATTATGATTAAAATAGTTGTATGAATGTTTTAGATTTTTCTAGTACTTTTATTTTGTTATAAGTATAATTTATGTAAAACTAATGATTGCTAATCATAACAACGGTTATACAAGTACTCGTATATACATTGAACAGCTAATGGGTTTTGGAATATTTAATATTCCATAATATATTTCATAATATTTTTATAATTGACATAAATATTTGCATAATAGTAAAAATAAAACTATTTGGCGCACAATATGATACATGTATATTAATATTAATTAATATACATGTGCTGTACTTCAATACTACCTACTTTATTTTATAAATACTCGTATTGAACGCGTTCTATTAAAAATAATGATAATAATTATTCTAATGTTTAATATAATCAAAAGTAACGTTTTAAATCAATCAACTCATCAAACATTATTAAATTTATAGGTTTTTTAAATTATTAATACTAAGTCAACTATTGTGTAATAATATTAATTTTTGATATTTCTATTATACCTATTAAAAGTATTATAAAATTTGAAATTTTGTTACAAGTTTGATATTATTTTAGTGTAACTATATAATGAAAATAGTAAATAATATATCAGGTATTTATAAACAAAATTAAGTCTTCAAAGATATTAGAAAGTTAAATTAATTTATTGTTATCAATTTTTTAGTGTTGAAGTTATTTGATGAATAGGTTTTGGAAATTGAAGTATTGGTTGCATTCTTCGGATATATTACATACAAAATTATATGTTATATCCTTCAATCGATCTCTGAAATAAATATGATACATAAAACAATTAGTCGAGTAACACAGTGAAATATTAATTATAAAAATATAATTTTCTTGTAATATAATGTTAAATATTTTTGGTGTTATAATTAGTTATTTTCCATTTTTGAAGTATATACATATAGTATTGTTATATATAACGATAATATTTAGGTGATTATTACAGGCCAAGTATTAGATGAGAAAGCCTAGAAAAAATCAGATTTTCAGTTTTTTTAAAAGATTTTTCTTACATTTATTATTTATTTATTAATGTACAAAATTTTGATCTAATTTAAAACGTATAAATCATAACAATAATTATCAAGTGCTTATTATTTATGGTAAATGATAAAAATAATTATTAAATAATATTATGTGATTTGGTGTAAACCTTGACGCTACGGTTTAAGATTCAAATGCCTAACCAATCTCGTTTTTTTAGGCTACGGTACACATTAATTATTTTAGTTGAAAATAAATGAAGCTAAAATCTAATTTCATCACCAATTATAATTTAATTTATTGGATCCTAGCTTTATTTTTTTAAAGATAGAAAAAGAAAATAATTTTATTTATTTTCGACCCGACTAAAATAATTATTGTACAAAAATAAAATTGATGATCGTGTGAAAGTTATCTATATTAAAATTGTAGGGTTATTCTGAAATATTACTGAGTTAACATAAAAATTGAAATCTATGTACTTATGAATTATTTTCAACATAAAATGTTTAATATATATATATATATATTTACATTTTAAAGAATTAATTTTATTAAAGAAGTATACAACTGTATAATTAAACTCAACAAGTATTAATGATAAGGTTATTTATTCATAACATGAGATTATACGATATAGAATGCATCCCAATGAAGCTAACAACTTTGGATATTAGAAAGGAATAATTTTAGTAGAGAAGGTTAGGTTAGGTTAGGCTAACATGACTTTCATTGGAGTCTTCATGTGGGGTTATTAGGGATCTGGTGAGAAAATAAGTGACTTATGAGGGGTTAGTATGAAAGCTGATTTTTTTGTGAAGTTAAATTACGGTAAGTAATGCTTAATATTATTTGTAAATGTTTAAACAACCTTCATTAAAATTGTATAAGCTACTATTTCTTTTTCGAGTAAGAGGAATTTATATCATACGTTATTTTATTGTTTGCTTGAAATTCTTCTGTCTTTGTTAAGAACTTAATTTTTTTGTATCAAGTATAAGTATACAAATTTTGTAAATATTATTATTTTTTGTTTTTAACTTCAAGTTCAAAAATTGTTATACATTAAATACATTTTTAATACAAATATAGGCTATAAGAGTAGATATATAAGATATATAAGAGTACTTACAAATATTTACTGTTTTGAAGTGGTAAGAATAATGTATTAATGTAAAAACGATTACTCCACAATTTTTAAAAGTTCTCAAGAGAATAAAGAATTCTATAGCATCTTTTTTATCATAAGATTTTGCAATTTAGAAATAGTGTATCTTTAAAATGTTCTTTTTTTTCTTAATGATGTGTTAAGTGTTATACATTTTTTAATATAACTTAATTGCGTTTTGCCATTTTTAATTTAAAATTAGAAAATACATTTTTAGACCTTTGATTCATAAACATTCAATTTTTGAACAATTATTTTACTCGACATTTTATAACTGAGTTAAAATAATCAGGACCAAAAAAAAATTGTATACTGTTTTATTTTAATAATTATAGTGCATACTATAACTTTTTAATTTTACAATATTTTGAAAAGACATTATTAATTGGTATAAAAATATTATATATATTTATGAGTCAATATTGTGAAAAAAAAGAATTGTTTATATCAATTTTGTTATGTACGTTTTTGTTTAAAAATAATTATTATTTTTGTTTTGTGAATAACTTGAAAAATGTTGATTTAAATTTGAGCTTTTTACGTTTTAAAATTAATTGTTTATTGTTTTCAGGAATAAATCAAATATAAATGCATGTATGATTTAATTCAAGTAGCATTTATACAACATGTGCATTGATAATATTAGTGATCCTTTCATTACTCTTACTAATAAATGTTTCAGTTATGTTTTTCTTTATGGGTAGTATCTGAGATTTGCAATTTAAAAGCCAACCACATTGGTAAAAACCGTATTGTTGATAATGTCGGTATAATACTGGTCCCAATTGTTATTCATTTAAAAAAAAAAAATGATTATGAGCAAATTATAATATGGTTTAATTTTTAAAAAAACGAACCCTCTTTATTTCGATTAAATGATGTGTTGTTGTTGTTATTTACATTTTTAATTTAAACATTTTCAAGTAGAAAACGTTATATTATGTTGAATCAAACAAAAAGTAAATTATTTATAGTTATTTTAAATTTTGATTATATAATATGGCAATTTATTTACATTTTGTCGTTCGATTTTCAAATATTTACTACAATTAATTTCTAGATAGATAATCGGCTGTTTTTATTTATCGATATTTACAAATTACGGATTCAAAAGTAACTGTCGTTTCAACATGTTGTGATAAAAGCAAATAATTTTTTTGATAAGAATAGAATGACATAAAATTGCCGATAAAAAAGTTGATTGGTTAGTCTAGTAATGACTCAAAAATTATATAGATTTTTGGAATATTTTTAACTAAAATTATTTTCCACGTAAGCATTGCAAATAAAGATTATATTTTAGTACGATAATACAATTTATGAATACTTAGATATTTATTTGTATATGGTATTTGTATACATAGTATTATATTATGTATTATTTATTTATATATACATATATACTAACGCATTTATTTCCAGTTGAATAGCTGCTGTCTTGTTGAAAATATTTAATCTTGTTGGTTTAACTATAATGCATTATTTTTATGTATTTGTAGTTTTCTTCAATATTTGACCCATGTTTTTTACACTCTGTAATATTTAACGTACATTTTATTTAAAAACCTCCGTTTGAAATATATGCTAATTTGGTAAAAAGATCAAATGATTTGTAAATAGTAAAATAATTTAAGTAATTCCAGTTTACGATTAATAATTAATCCACATACAAAAGATATTTTGATAAAAATACTATACCTATAGGTATGTTTTCCAATGTGCTAATTAACCTTTGTGGACGCATATACAAATTTTGGCGTTATATACGTTCATAATTATTTCTACTTGTCATATTTATAAATGATAATATTATAATTAATATAATTACCTTTAAAATCATTAAAACAAAAAACATATTGTATTTTATCAATTTTGGACACAGTTCTTTTAAATGTAATATTTTAAAATAAAATCGAACTATTGACTGTCCACTAAATAACATTGTTGGTAAAACATGAAAATTTAATTGCTTTGCTTCTATTGTCTGAAATGATTAGTAAAAAGAAAAAGAAACGGTTAGTATTTAATTATTTCATATTGTAATTATAACGATTTGGTTTATACTATAATAATATAGTATATAGAACAATAATCATTACTTCAAAGCAAAAAGTATTTGCGCTATTGGATTTCTTTCGATTAATAATAAAAGGCACAGCATTTTTCACAGTCATTGATGCTGTTAGTGATGATTGGTCAAGTACGGTATAATATTATAGTATTAACTTAGAGTACCCAACTCTTGCAATTTATAAGCTGGATAATAACTACTTAAATGCTCAGTCAACAATACGTTTCTAAAAATATAAATAAATGTGACATTTACGACTAGATAGTATGTACAGTATAAAAATAAATAATAAATTGTTAATTCAATTGAATATTTTTAATCTATTGTTTGTTTGAACTTTTAAATCCGGGATAAAATAATTAATAGGAGTTTGTGTACTTACGTTTATAATTATATGGCTGAATTAAATTTTAAAGCTAATATTTAGAGAAAAAATATCAATAAATAACGACACTTACTTATGAAAATATAATTTGTTGTTTGATTGTTTTATTTTTATTTTAGAAAAAGATAATTATGGCCCTTGACTAAAATTTGTTTGTATTACTTCTGGCCGAACATAGACAAAACTATTCTAAGAATTATTGATTATTTGTTGTATTATGATATTGAATCTTAGGTTCAATGTCTGTACTACCGATTTGAAATATTAAGATACTCTTTTTTATACAAAACCAATATATGTAGAATTGATTTATTTTAATGATGATAAGTGCTTTAATAGTAATATTACTATTATTGTAATTTATGAGTGAGTTTATCATTATGGTACTTATTAAGCATATTATATAGAAATCAAATTGATAAAATTGAAGAATGCTGAACTTAAAAAAAATTATATGTACTTATTTATAATTACGTAAAAGATAGTTTTTAAATATTTCAGAATAAAATATAAGCATTTGGATAAATTAAATATTATTATTTATTTAAACTACAAAGTGTTTCAACACACCTTGGGCATTATAAAAGTTTTAATAAATATCGCATTGATTATTTTTATCGTTAAAAAATGTTCTATAGTAGCCATGGACAAAGGCGTCCGATGGGCAATAATGATGATTAATACTATATTTTAGAATCTGTAGTTATTATTAGGGCCCGGATTTTTATGCAAATGCATATTCTTCTACATTTGACTTATAACAATTCTGATTAAATATCTTGACGTTTCGTAATACTTGGATTCGGCTATTAATTTCTTTTATTGCATATTTTTGCATATTTGCATCAAAATGCATAAAAGTTGCATATTTCTGGATAATTACATAAAATGTGCATATTTTATAAATAATTAATAAAATATTTTAAATTTTACTCGAAAGTTTGTTATACATTCCGATTGCCGACATTCTTGATAAATATAATTCGACCTAATAAAACAAAATATTTTACAACAGGAAATTCCGTGACAGACGTATAGATGTATAAACGTTATCTTATAGATAAATAAATAAATATATAATCTGAATACTGGAATATGAGATTAAGCCAATATAATATTATAGCAATCATTTTTATATTAGTTACTAGCTGTTATTCGTCGGTGTAGTGTATCCACGATTTTCTTTTAATAATATCTGTACCGAAAAACTTTATTCCATTATGTTACGAAGATGTTTTCAGTAAGATCAGAAAGGAAATAGGGAATAGTTCTATTTGGGTATCAATAGACGAAACTATTGATGTTCCAGGACGTTATGTCGCAAGTGTATTAATTGGTTCTCTATCTTCCGAAAATTCATCAAAACCGATAGTTTTAACTGTTGAAAATTTAGAAAAGACAAATTTTCAAACAATTTCGAAATTATTCAATAATTCAATGACCATATTATGGCCTGAAAAAGTATTGCATGACAAAGTGTTATTGTATGTCACAGACGCCGCTCCTTATATGGTAAAATCTGGACATGCGCTTAAGGTATTTTATCCTAAAATTATTCATATTACTTGTATGGCCCATGGGCTTCATAGATTATCAGAAACTATTAGGGATAAATTTTCAAATGTTGATTTGTTGATATCTAATACAAAAAAAGTTTTTTTGAAAGCACCTATAGGTGATAGGTGAGTATACTCGGGTAGGTACTTTTAAAGAAAAATGTCCAAACTTAAGTTTACCACCACAACCTATTTTACCCGATGGGGAACGTGGCTAGATGCCGCCTTTTATTATGGTAAGAATTTCGACAAAGTCAAAGAAGTGGTCGACACATTTAACCCAAATGATGCTAAGTCTATTCAAAATGCACAACAATTATTTAATGATAACTCAATCAAAAACGAACTTTCGGTAATTTTATCAAATTTCCAATGTATAACAGATACTATCGTGTGCGTGTGTCTAGAAAAATCGGGTGTTAATTTTGGAAAAAGTCTAAAATTGGTTCAAAATGTTGAAAATAAATTGAGTTAAGGAGGACGTGGTATTGAATTTGCTAAAGTGAAACTATCCAAAGTATTATCAAAAAATTCCAGATTATCACAAATAAAAAAAAAATCTGGAATTATAAGCGGGGAAATAAGAAACGATGATGAAGATCTTGCAGAGTTGTCACCAGAAGATAATTTTTGTTTCAAATACGCACCCATTGTGTCAGCAGACGTGGAAAGAAGTTTTTCGAAATATAAGGCGATGTTACGTGAAAATCATAGAAGTTTTCTATTTGATAATTTAAAAGCACATTTTGTTACATCATGTTGATACTCATTCGATTATTAATATACATTTTTATGCTAAACCTAAACACATTTTAAATACTTATAATTAAATTGTATTTTTTTCTCGCTTAATACAATATTTTTAATTTTTTTTAAATATTTGGTTTTTTAATACACAATACATTTTTTTTGCATATATTTTGCATATTTTTGAATTCTTGTGTGCATAAATATGTGCATATTTAAAAATAATTTTTGCATAAAAATCCGGGCCCTAGTTATTATGGTTCAATAATAGGTGTAAAAGTATTTTGTACAATAAATGGCGAACGATATGTTTGACTTAAATAGTGATAAGAAATTTTCATTCAGATATTCAAATTGCTATAAATATTCATGTAGACTCGTTAGTCTGAGTTATATTATCGGTTGAGTATTATTGGTGAGTACATTTAAACGAATAACTTTCATGTTTTTAGTATGTGAGTAAGTGATTAACTGTTTTGTACACATATTTTTGTTTCGTAATTATTATTTTTATGAATTTATATTTAATTTTTAACACCAAAATAATTGGTAAATTATATCTAAAACTATATAATAACTATATATAATTATATAGTGATTGCATTCTATAATATTTGTAAACAATGTCTTTTTTTACGTTATCGAAATTTTCATGTTTAATTACAATTTAAAATCATCGATGATTTGAGTTATTATATTTTACTTTTACGGTTCTGTAATTTTTAGTTAAATTATTGTGAACATCATATGGTATAACCAAATCAGCGGTTGAAAATATTTTTCTTAAATATGTACGAAAACACTAAGCCCATAAAATAAATTGCAATATAGGTAGTTATTTGTGTTACTGATTTGGGACATTTTCTTTGCGTTGAAAAAATGATTTTGCACTGTTTGAAAATAAACCAAACACACTGTGATACAACAACATTATCGTAATATAAGGATTCCATATTTGTCGTATTATACGGAACGTCACGTTCCGTTTCACATTGACAGTGTTCCGGTGTTCCCGAATAGGATGAAATATCGTAAAAATGTCCAGTATTATGAAATTATTGTCCCCTATATTCCGTAAAAGTATAATACATAATTGTTTTTTTACTTATTTCTATACAATAATCAAAATTTCAAGATTAAAACATTTTTTAACCACTGATTTACTGATAACGTAAATGCTACGTCCTGCCTATACATTCCTACCACTCCTCGTTTTCCATACGATAATCGATTTGGAAATATAATAATAATACATAATGAAATATATAATCTAATATCAATATCTGAGATTCACACTGTTTAATATTGTATAATACTCGTTTCTCATCAGTTACCAGACATTAATATTCGTCATTTGATATTGATAGACATTAAACATTTATTTCAAAAAATTAATATTGTGTTTGTGTTCTTCACCAACTATTTATAGTATAAGAGTAGAATGTGACATGTATGTACTTTTAGTTTATGTTTTGACTACTTTACCTTTTTAAATTCCCAAATCTACGTTGAACGTTACGTTTAATGTTTGAACCGCCCCCTCCCTTAATTTATGGTTATAATTATGTGTTATAACCATATTTTTTATTTTGAAATCTGGGATCCACATCGTAATATTATATTGTAATGCAGTTATTATGCATTGTTTTTCGAAGAACCTCGGTCAAAGCTCAATACGGCGAAGTACGAAGAAGTATGGTAAATATCTTGAACTAGGTCATCAGTTTTCTCTTTCGTGCTGGACTACAAAATATCCTGATTCCGCGATTCACAATGTTGTAGGTAGGTACTCCGTAAATATATTTTATAGTGATAATATATTACTTCCGGCCGAACTTCTATAAATTATAACACTATAGACTCGAGTTATGCATCATGTACGTATAATAACATGTATCGCGTGAAGCATTTGTCATAATAGAAAAAAAAACTCTGTAAAGATTTGATACAAAATGAATGAGTCAAATCAAAAGATTCAGTCGAACGTAAAAAACATGTTAAATGCATTTTTTACGTTCAGCGTATTGTTCATAAATTGTAAAGAACGCGATCGGAGAGGAAAAATCTTACTATTAATCAACAACGCCTCAAAGAGTTTTTGAAACGATTAAGCGACAAACTTTCAGCTAACGCCCAGAAAAAGTGATGCAGTGATAAGGTAATTCATAATGATACCATCGAACTCTAACGCACGTGCTATGTAGGTATAGTTGCCTATATATAATATGTGCAGGATGGCCTGGTTACGTTTTCTCCGTGGAAATACCTTCGTAAGTATTATTATTTTGTCTACACTTTTGTCAATTTTATATTATGAAAAGGAGGGGAATATGAAAAACGTATAATATCAAATTCGTATTTTCATCCTTTAGCTGGCATTGAAAAATAACTTTTGAATTTTACATTTCTATTACATCTCAAAACAGTAATTTCATAAGATATATAACGAGCATTAGTATTAGTATAAAGTATTGAAATCGAAAATCCAATAATTTTTTTCATTGTTTTTTCTAATGTATGATTTGAAAAGAATGGTTAGACTTTACATAGGGTTACATATAATATTTTTATTTGTATAGTTTTAAACGGGCCCGGCCCAATTATATAAGTAGTATCATATGACAAAAACAATTGTTCAATATTTAAATGATAAATATAAATTAAGAAAAATAACACAGTAATATATTTATGAAATATTATTAAAAACGAAACTAAAAACAGTTTTGAATAAGTAAAAGTTTGATGAGATTAGAAAAAAATCAGTCTTTAATTAATTTGTTAGTTACATAATTCTAAAATTTGTTTTATAAAATTCCAATTTAACATATTTTTTTTTAGAAATGAAAAATTTAAAAAATTATTTTCATAGCCGGTTAAAGGATGAAAATACAAATTTAATATTACGTTTCTGTAATATATTTTACTATGAATGTATACTAAAACAAAAATATCAGATAAAT